ATATTTACAATTGAATGAATTAACGATTCCTAATACCAGATTCTATAGAAGTCATACGAATAGAGAGAGTGAATTGAAAGATAGCCCTGTCTAATTTAAACTTAAGGTTTACGATATGCCTGAGCAAATTTGGGCTTCAGGTTTACGTGCCCGAGCAAATTTAAGCTTCGGAAAAGCGGGCTGGAAGGATGGAAACAACTGTGATAAACTTATTTAGCCTAATTGTTGTGATAAACTTATTAAATAGTTTCATATAAATGGCTCCGATCAAACGCACGAATCGAGCAAATTCAACTGCTGAACAAGATGTGTGTAAAAAATGTTCTGAGACGATTGGTGGATGGATCTTCTGCTACTCGTGTAGGAAGTGGATGCATGACAAGTGTTGTGGAATATCACCAGAACTCGTTCAACAGATCACCATGATTGACAACATTCAATACGTCTGTGGTGAGTGTCTGAAATCCAATGAACCAATCAATCAGAAAATCTTGGACAACACCTTGGATAAGGTTATTACTCCAAAGATCGAAGTTATTTTATCTAATTTTACCGATAAACTTACTGAGAAATTTACTGAAATTGCTGGTACAGTTTCGAGCTCTGCTCAAACATACGCCGCAGTTGCTTCAACTCCTACTACAGTTCCTGCAATTTCTTCTCCTGTCGATAATACTTGGACTCGTGAATTGAAAATTGATGGTATATCCGAAAACAGAGGTGATTTCAAATCGCAAACTGAATCTGATATTCACCATATTACTGCTATTTTGAATCACCTAGGTGAGGATTCTTTTGTTAAAGTTAGATCTTTCAAGCGCCTGGGAAAACGTATTGCTACCAGTACGCGCCCACGCACCTTACTTGTTGAATTTACTTCCCAATTTGACTGTGTCAAAGTTTTATCTAAAGCTTACAAACTGCAATCCTTTCAATCTCCCATTTACATTTCAAAATCTCTGTCTCCTACTGACCAAATCAAATTGCGTAAAATATTGAAACTGAGGACTGATGTTTCCACCAAAGACAACATTCCAAAGAGCGATCTCAAGATAAAAAACCTGAAACTTTACCATAATAATGTGGAAATTCCGTTACCCGAATGACTAGCGGATTTGAGGTTGTGTCTTATCAACGCTCAAAGCTTGATAACAAGTACTCAACGTCTCAAGCTACGCAACTTTCTGCTTTCTAACAACATTGATTTACTGTTTATCACCGAAACCTGGCTCTATGATGAGATAGAGAATCACGAAATCTTCCCTGCTTCTGGCTATCACGTCCTCATGCGAATTGACAGAACTTCAGGAGCACATGGAGGAGTGCTTATTGCTGTCCGTGTGAGCCTGGAACTCAGTATTTTATCATCCTTTTCTTACTCTGATTTTTGCTGTTCTATCATTATTGATTTCCATAAAGCATTTTATAGTTTCTTATTGATTTACAATCCACCTCAAACTTCATTATTCAGAGTTGATTCTTCTGTGCTTGTTGAGGCTATGTTTAACCACCGTGATGAGGTTGTAAAATGTCTCGGTCGCAAAGTTGCGAAAGACTGAGTTGTTACCGCAGTTCTCGGTGACATCAACCTTCCTGATGTCTGCTGGAGCTCACACACTGCTACTTCTGATTATTCAAACAAATTTTTGATAGCACTAGATGATCTTGACTTGCTTCAAATTGTTGATTTCAGCACCAGTTAGTTTCGGGCAATATCCTTGACTTGCTCTGCGTTTCAGATCCTCATCGATTCATAGTTTTTCGAGGTGCCACTGCTTTTTCTGATCATTATCCAGTTTTTGCGCATGTATTTGCTGCAAGTTCAATTTCACATTTTACTACAAAGCGATCTGTCACTTACTCAAAAAGTAGTCTTAATTCAGAAAGTTTCAGTCGGGCTATATCGCCCTTATACTCTATCTTGCATTCTAACTGTCATAATGAGTTCATTGACAAGTTCAACGAAACTGTTTGTCAAGCACTTGATTCTTCATGTCGTAAAATTACGGCTCGCAGAAAAGATTTTCCGTTCTATTTTTCATCTCATTCTATTCATATTGCTAATAAACTGAGAACTCTGAACAATTTGAATTGTTTTAATCGCCAATATCTGTCTCAATTAGAGAATGATTTCTCAAACTCAGTTGAACTCGATAAAACTCTGCTGATTCAACGTTTTTCGCCGAATTCTTCCAAGCATGCTTTTATGTTTCTGGACCAATTTAAATCAACTCAACCTGTCCCTACTAAACTTTTTTGGGGACGCAAACAGGTCGAGAGCGATGTTTTAATTAGTGAGACTTTCAATCAATATTTCGCTTCTGTTTATCAAGTATCTGAAAATAGTCCTTCTGCTGGTGGTAGTTTGGCTGATTCGGAAATCAAACTTTCCGAAGTTGATGTCTCCCCCAGTATTGTTGACGAGCTCCTGGCTAAATGCAAAGAGACTCGTTCTACAGATAATATACCTGCATTCATTTATAAATCCTGTCACAGCATTCTTTCTCCGCTTGTTTCTTTCCTTTTCTTATCCATTATACAATCTTGTGTTTGGCCCGATTCCCGGAAAACTGCACTCATCACTCCTGTTTTCAAATCTGGTTCTCCTTATGATATTACTAATTATCGGCCAGTTAGCATACTTCCTCCTCTTTCACTCATCTTCGAGCGTATTTTGTTTAATTATATTTACCCTCGAGTCCGATACAAAATTTCGAATGCTCAGCATGGATTCCGCAAGAAGCGTTCCACCATAACGCAAATGCTCTCATATCTAGATGAAGTATATCACACTCATGATGCCAAAATTCCTTGCGCTGCCATGTATTTCGATTTTAGCAAAGCTTTCGATTCTGTCAGGCACGACATTCTTGTACAGAAGTTTGCTGCTTTTGGTTTTGACGATATTTTTACCGCTCTTTTGATTTCTTATCTTTCAAACCGTTTTCAATGTGTTAAAGTTCGAACAAGCATTTCCACCACTTTACCAGTTACTAGTGGTGTACCTCAAGGGAGCGTACTGGGTCCTCTGCTTTTCATATTCTTTATTAACGATCTTCCTGATATATTTAATCATTCAAACTGCTTTCTTTTCGCTGATGACTCAAAATTCATTTGTAAGACAAATTGCAGTGATTTACAGTCTGATGTGGACAGTTTCACTCATTGGTGTACTCAGAATGGTCTTAAAATCAATAAAGACAAGTGCAATTTCATTATATTCAATGGAAAATTTCCTGATTGTATTTTTGTTAACAACCAACCTGTTCATTCTATTAATTTACTCAAAGACCTTGGTCTGCTTGTTAGCTCTGATCTTACTTGGTCAAACCATATTAGTAAAAAACTTCTATCGAGCAATAAAAGCTTTCATTTTATCAAACGTTCTATTCCATATCACATTCCACTTTCTGTTAAACTCATGTTCATCAATACTTGTGTTAAAAGTATTTTATTGTATGCTAGTCCTGTGTGATCTCCCTCTTTAACTATGTTAAGGAAGCTTGAGAATTTCAACAGGAAATGTCTTACCTGGGTTACAGGTCATTTACCCTATTTAAAGCAACTTTCTTTAACGAATTCGCTTCCCATATCCTTCACGCTTATATTTAACGACCTTATCCTTTTCCACAAAATGTTAAATGGCGACTCAGAACTCCCTTTTGCTGCGTATTATTATTTTAAGGTGACGACATCAAGATCCAGCACGTTGATGACAGTGAAACCCGCAAGAAGATGGTCAACCGAGACGTTCTTCACCCACAGAACAGCACGTGCCGTGAACTACATGCTGAAAACAACGGAGATCGACTTTTTCACCTCTTTGCGCCGTTTTCGCAGTACCCTCAAAGACTTCTTACTAGAGCGCTCTAAACTCTTCAATCGTGAAAACTCATGCACTTGGTTTTTGAAGTGCCGTTGCTCTTTCTGTAGATCCTAGTTTTGTTCATCTATTTATATAAATTATGCCTTATTATTAATAAGGGAATTAATTCTTTTTTTGTTTTGTTGTTGTTTGTTTGTTGTGATAGAAGTTATATTTCTCTCTGGCAATATTGTGATGGATAACAATTTTTAGATCTCTTTTTATACTGCATTTATTTTACATCCATAAATAACATTAACATCTCTGCTCGGTCATCACTTATAATTTCAATTTACATTTTTCATATTTGGTATGATTGCATAAAATATAGTAAAAACTTGAATTCTACAAGCAAGAACGCGACAAAAAGTAGCTTTAAAAAATGCAAAGAAAAAGAAAAAAGCCTCGAAGTAGTAATACTTTCCTACGTATTGGCTTCGAACCTGCAGCCTCTAGAAATGGAGTCTCACGCCCTGCCCTCTCGGGCACGACGTCTCAGCAATCGGCAACCACTAGTAAAAATAAAAGGAACTACATATGCCAATAAGATGCATGCCAATGTCATGCAGCAAAAGTGGCACAAATAGACACAATTTTGCAAGTAATAATTTGGAATAAAACTAACTGAAGGAATTAAAACATGTATTAAATTGGAAAGCATCAAGCCACATTATGTATAAACTATTGATTTCAAAAAACTGCGGGATATAGTGAGTTAGAAAATTTCTGAAATCTAGTTTTTATTATTGTTGTTGTTTGAAAAAAATAGCTTTTTCCGGTTCATTTGATGAATTAAAAAGGCATCAACTGTGTTAACTTATTAATATCGAATGTCGAAGCACATGCTATCAAAAATCCCTAAAAGTGCGACCAAAAATGGCGCCAATATTTGCTGCTCAGGTTCGAAAAAAAAAGTACGCATGTGTAATCAACGAAGATATCACGATATCACATACAGCAAGAGCTATTTCTGGCAGCTTTGTACGAAAAATTGTCAAAGGAAAAAAGTTCCCGGTTACAACATCACTTGGTCTAGCTAGTGAGAACAAGCAGAAATCCGCAGTCATTCTAAATTAAATACATTGTCATTTCTTAATTTAAAATAAACGTAGTCAATAAATTTAAGTTTGAGTACCTGAACACTCTGCAGACGGCCTGTGCGTCGTGGCATGGGTTCCAACAGACATCCATGATGACCACTCTGCTGGCAGCCACCAGGTTGATGCCCAGACATCCGGCCTTGGTGGACAGCAACATCACCCAACCACATCCACCACTGTCACAGTCCTGAATCGAAGATAGACAACCAAATCATATTGAAAAGAGTCTCAGAATGACTAGAAACACACAGTCAGCTAATCATCTTGATGAACAATATACTCACAGAGCGAACAATCAATCCATCTCAAGTAAATTTCTCAAGTTAAACTTTATATTTTATATTTCTAATGACTTGTAGATATTCACCATTACACAACCAACTTATACAAAATGGAGCCACGATTCTGAGTTCAATGGAACAAATGCAATTTAATGATATCATAATGACTGTACAGTGCTCGATTGCGTGACTTACATCGGGACTGGAGGATGGCTGCAGGGTGTTGAACTTGTTGATGATGTGGCCCCTCTCAGTGGCACTTGTCTCCCCATCCAATCGGAAGTAGTCCCTGTTGCGCTGCCAGATGCGGTTGGAGTGGGGCACCGTGCGACTGGCCAGGCTCCTCTCCACCAGAGTGAGGGTGCCCAGACTCTGGCTGAACACCAGCACCTTCTCGCCCACACTCACGCTGCAACACAAACATGTATATCATTCCAGGTACAACAAGTGTACAACAAGACGGCAGCCAAACTCCGTCTTCTAATTTTGCACGCAAAGTTTTGCGCATTTATTTTTTTCGGAAAATTTTTTGAAATGTCCACGGGTGGCACGCTAAAAATTGGCATTGCTTGAAAAAAATTGTTCCGCTCTTTTTGAATTTCAGCAATTCACGAAGTGAAACATGCTTCAAAATTTATTTGCATTTTAACCTACGTTTCATTTCATGGAACAACATTGAATTTTTTACCTCATATCATTTTCAACGCCATTTCATTTTTTACCTGGCTACCTTTTGCAAAACTAGTTAAGTGAAACAATCATGCGAGCTCCTTAACTATCAACTAATCAAGCCACCTGAGCCTGATGATTTCCATGAGGAGTAACAGTTTGGGCCCATCGTTGATATTTTCAGGCTTGTATTGACTCATCAACGACTCAGCCCACGAGTAGTCAATGAACGCCTTCTTCCCACTTCCTCCCCCGCCGCCCCCACTAAGCATAGCTTCCTGTTCTTTCATGGCCTTGTAGAGCACATCTGGGTGGTTCCACACTTTACACAGAGTTCCAAATGCTCGAATTGGGTTCAGACTGGGCGGCTCCGTTGCTTCTCCTACTGATGACACCTTGCTGTGCACGGATATGTTAGACGCAAGTCTTTTTTGGTTGTGAACGCCTGCCAGCTCTTGCATTGGAAACTGCGTGGAATTTGAGCCCGCGTTTTTTACTTGCTGTGTCACTCCATGTTGTTCACCTGATGGGCGTTTGATGTGGCCCAGATACCGACTGTAGAGCTCCTTCTGAATGGGACTCATGCGTACGAGGATGATGAACTCTGTCTTCTTTGGGAGTGCCTTGATCAGCACCGAGTGACTCCTCCGAAGTACGAACCCGCGCAGCAGAGATGTCAACACATGCGACCTAGTACAAATTTTCTTTCTCCCTTTGAACAAATAAAGCAATTGCCATAAAATTACAAAGAAAATCGTTGTCGATTTAGTTTGAGCCCCGAAAATGACTGGGCCTAATGAAATGAAAATATATCGGAGCCCAAAAAAGTACCGTTCGAAGTAAAATTGTATTGGAAAGGGAAAATATGATGTATGTTGACGTACCTGTATTTCATGAGTTTGATGTCTTGTGGTGTGCTGTCCACACACTGTCCGTTTGAGATGGGTCTTTCGAACATGTTGCAGAACTCCTGCCGAGTGCCCAGATAGTTGGGACGCACAAAATCCACCATGCACCAGTACTCCACCAGATTGTTCTGCGCCAAAGCAACCGTATTTTTATTCACAAGTTAATTGTCATTTTTCTGAGATTAACACGAATCAGAAAAAAACGTTGGTTCAAAACAACATGTCAATTTATATATTTTTTAAACCTGTTAAAACTATTGACCGTCGGACATGAAGTGACATAAATTTTATAAGTTGAAAACTTACATTCGCCTCAATTGCAATAAATGTAAGCGAGAATCATAAAATTATATTTCGATTTCTTTTAAATTTACCTGTAGCGGATACCCAGTGAGCACAACTCTGCGTCTTGTGTGTATGGCATTGAGACTCTTGGCTATGGCCGAATCACAGTTCTTGATTCTATGGCCCTCGTCACAGATGACCACCTCAGGCCCACTCAGCAACTGCTGCTGCAGGCGGTCAACCAACTCTGTATCCTTCATACTTTCTTCCTCCACTTCTTTTCTAGTTCTGAGATCACCCTGAAATTAAATGCACTTTGAAAACCCATCATTTAAAAGGGGGCGAAGCTGAACTTTGCGCCAACTCCGATTTAATGGAAAGCTATGCTCCATAGAAACAATTAATTATCGGTCATTGATAACTATTCTGATTCAAAGTTTATCATTGCTTTAGTGAAATTCCAAATGAAAGCAACTATAGAGCCTTTTGCAAAACTTTTGTTATCGTTTGTAAACGGATTAAATGACATTACCTAAGTTTTGCAAAAGGCTTCATAATTTCTGTTATTTGGAATCACAAAAAAAAACTTACACCAGCAAAATTAATCCAAAAAATGTTCCACCGGTACAAGTTCCCAAAAGCATTCTCAGAACCTAAATATAGCCAACAGACAGTTGCAGAAGTGTAAAGGTAACCGAAAAAATGTGTAAGACAGTTGTGGAAGAATCGAACACTTGCAGAAGTGTATATGAAACAAAAAAAATGATCACTACGGTTATTGACACTTAACAAGTTACAATTCGTGGCAAGCAGCTATTTGCTGTGCAAATACCACAAAGTTTGGACCACATTCATTAAAAAAACTTTAAAAAATGCGATTCATGACGAAAGAAATTACACGAAAGCTAAGAAAGTTAGACAAAATGAACTACAGTTCTCTGCAAAAAATAAACATAGCCAACTGAAAGTTGGAAAAGAGTAATGAACGCAAGGAAACGCAAAAAAAAAGAATTTTTTTTTAAAACGTTTACTTTCGAATGTCTATAAAAAAATACTTGAAGCTCTTTGAATTTCACAAACAAGCTAAGATTGATGCTTTTTAAATAGAGTTGACCCAAAATAAAATATTTGATCAATAGGTTAAAGTTTTATTTCGCCGGGAAATCTGACAACTAAATTCCATTTTCGAAAATAAAAGTCGATCACGTTTTTCAAGACATTTATATTTTTGCTGTTTGACAGTGAAGTTTGCCAGAACGAGTTATACGACGTTTTTCATGAACAAACTTTAGGACTTTTCCTGAAAAAAAAACTATTTTCTAGTCTTTTAGCTTAATAACCGAATCTTAATAGTTTAACAGATTATCAATTGCATTCGAAACAAAACGACATGTCCAGTAAAAACTGTCAGCTCGTGAACTAAAACGAAACTATAACTATATATTTAAATAATCTATTTGAGTCCAAGAGCTCTATCACAGGGAGGGGGGAGCTTTCGGTTCCATGCACTTAATGAGTTGCTAGGAGGCCACTTGGAGTTCTGTCACAGGGAGGGGGAGCTTTTGGTTCCATGTACTTATTGAGTTGCCTGGGCCACTTGGAGTTCTATTACAGGGAGGGGGAGCTTTCGGTTCCATACACTTATTGAGTTGCCTGGGGGACTCTTGGAGTTCTATCACAGGGAGGGGGAGCTTTCGGTTCCATGCACTTATTGAGTTGCCTGGGGGCCACTTGGAGTTCTATCACAGGGAGGGGGATCTTTTAGTTCCCTGTACTTATTGAGTTGCCTGGGGGCCACTTGGAGTTCTATCACAGGGAGGGGGAGCTTTCAGTTCCATGCACTTATTGAGTTGCCTGGGGGCCACTTGGAGTTCTATCACAGGGAGGGGGATCTTTTGGTTCCATGTACTTATTGAGTTGCCTGGGGGCCACTTGGAGTTCTGTCACAGGGAGGGGGAGCTTTTGGTTCCATGTACTTATTGAGTTGCCTGGGGGCCACTTGGAGTTCTATCACAGGGAGGGGGAGCTTTCGGTTCCATGCACTTATTCAGTTGCCTGGGGGCCACTTGGAGTTCTATCACAGGGAGGGGGAGCTTTCGGTTCCATGCACTTATTGAGTTGCCTGGGGGCCACTGTTCGTTCGGCAGGCTTCCTTCTGTTTGTATTCAAATCAATTTAAGTTTTATATTTTAATCAATTCAACTTTTTTGAATTTTTGCAGTTCTTTTTTTGATTTTTTCAAAAACTGTTTATTGCCAAAGAAACGTCAAAAACTAGTGTTCCTTGAGTAAAACTTAGTTTTTCACGACTTCAAAAAATTACTTATTATAACTTGTACCCAGATATTCGCTTGCGTTCCTCGCTTGGCTCAGAATTTGAATACAGGGTTTTCTCGAAACACTGAGAAGCCTTTTTAAAACGTTTAAGGTCGCGCCATCGCGACTGATAGCGCTTTAATATGATGAATTACTCGACCCATTCTTGTGATTAATTATGATACCCGATTTTACGTGAAAAAAAAGTAGAAATTAAAAAAACTGGTACACATCGGAAGATGAAGTTCCTCCCCTCATTAAGTCGTCGGAACAATTATGTCAGCACTTGAACAAACAAAAAAATTGTAGGTATTCATTGTCGAAACCAACGTGGCAAATCAGTCGACAAAAAGGAGAAGAGCTATATGGCTTGATAGCTCAACTATTCTGAGAATCCGCAGAATGTGTCTCAGGTTTTTCTCCAAACAATGTCAATTTGAAAAAAGCAATAAAAACAATTGCGAAATTGTAGTTAAGCAAGAATAAGCTTTTGTAAACGGCTTAAAATAACCATAAATAAGCCTGCTCGCTGGCTTTTGTCGCTTGAGTTCGACGAAAAAAAATTAGTGTGGTTCGAATCCTGATTGAAAGGACTTTAATATGATATATCACTCAATCCAGTCCAATGGTCATTTGTGGTACCTGATTTTGCGAGGGAAACAAAAAGAAAAAAAACTAAAACACTTATTAAAAACTAATTTTCAATGGTCGGAACAATGACCAAAAAAAATTGAAGACAATAATGGACATTTAACAAATCGAGTTGGTAAAATTACAACCAACATAAAAAACAATCGTTGAATCGGTCGGATATTCAAAACGCTAACGTGCTCAAAAAATGTCTGTTATTGCAAAAAATAATCCATTGAGTCAAGGATCCAGATGAATCTTGCGAACAAAGTTATTTACGGGAAAACGTCTGGTACCGGATTGCAATACCCTAGCTTATCGCAAGGGTAACTATCGCAAGGGTGATAAAAATATTCGTCGCACAGAAAAAGATCAAAGAAGTTGTCCACAACTTGATGAGATGACTGGAAATAAAAAAAAGAGACAGCTGGAGAATTGCCAAGGAGACCGAAAAAATTATCGACAATTTTGATCGAAAAAATCACAAAAGAAAAAATATATATCACCTGAAAAAGAAAAAAACGAAAAACTAACAAAAACACGACCCATGTAATTGGCTGCAATACGTTCATTGACACTTGAAAACAAACTAATTTTTATCTAACACGGCTGAAATGACATAAATAAAACTTACCACTCTTTGGTGTTTATTTTTTTTTGTACATGAATGATGCAAAAATCACAAATCCGAAGTTTTTTTGTAATTGCCCCGGCCGAAGATATCCTTTTTATCTTGAGCCTTGCTTCCATGGAGGAGCAACAACTCACAGACAGTTCCATGACAATATACCCAATTCCAATCTACCCTATACCATTCTACCGCATGCTAATCTAACCTATGTTCCAATTTAGCCTATGCCAATCTACCCTGTTCTATAAACTGTTCAATTAGTCAGACATAACTAAGCTGACGATCTCGGTTTAAGGTCACCACTCAGCGGCAATAATCGGCTCAAATTTTTGTAGACAGTCCTACCATAAGTCGACAATCTCGCAACAGGTTGATGCGACTGCCGCGGTCATTTTTTTGTTGTTACTATGCCGTCTTAATTAGCCATAGGTCAGATTCGCGCCGGCAGACATACCTGCGTGTAATTCGCGTGGTTTTCATGTTTGTGTGAAGCTGTAGCAGTGGGATAAGTGCTGGCATTTCTGGGAGTCCTGGCGAGTGCAGCGGCACTGAGTCGGGAGAGCAGTCGGAACATCTCGTAGCCCATTAGCAGCACTCCTCCCTTCGAGTGCCACTTGTTCACCACTTCCAATCTGTCTCTGTTATTCTTGCAGTCATCACTCAGTCTATAGACTGTGAACTCACTACTCGCACGCTTCCCATTCTCCTCACTTGATGCATCCTCTGAGTTCTTGTCATTTTGCACACTTTCCGTTTCTTTATTCTCAGCGTCATCAGCTATCACATTATCCATTCCAGCAATTGGCTCATTCTGAGAATCTGACTGTTCACTAGGTCTAAGCTCTTCCGCTTTAAAGTTAACTGTTTGCCGTAACTCTTGATTATTTGAGAAGTCTGGAGCATTATGACCGCCAAATCCGGTTTTCTGAGAGTTTTGTTGTGGAGGCTCAATTTTCACGTGTTCCTTGTTTTTAAGTATTGCATCATATTGGTCTTCATCAAATATTTCTTTAGTGCTATTCTCTCGGCCTGTCAGAGGAGAACATGAAAAGTTCATGTCATGGCTTATTCCAGGCTTCATTTCCGTTCCGGCACAGCTGACTTGGCCAGGGGTTGATACCAACGCACCCGTTTCAATATTCCTACTCATCTGTGAACTGATAGCATTAAGTCCATCACTTCTCGGCATAGCTAGTGGCAGAGATGAGAACAGGTCTTCAAAGTCCGGCAAACAGTCCAGCGAAGTGTCTCCCACTTCTGTTGTTAATATATTATCAGCATCAATGTCAAGATCTGGTAACAAATTTGAATCGAAAACAATTGCAGGTTCAATTGCGTTGCCGACTGATTTAGTTTGACTCTCGGAGTGATTTTCACTTCGAGGTTCGAAATATAGTTGCTGCATTTGGGCTTCTATTGAGGCAAAAGTAAAAGTCTGACCCTGCAGTGGGAAGTCAAACTCGATATCTGTCCAATCATCGCACATGTTAGTCAGCACATGGACTATTTGTTCGTCTTCATGTGAAGGAGGCGCAGAAATGACTTTGTTGACGATTGCCTCGAATCTGTTCACGAGCTGCTGCTTTGTGTCTATGACTGCCTGTTTGCGTGCATCTTGCTGTTGTTTCGCTGACTCACTTCGGAAGACATTCAGATCGAACACATCACAGTTGGTCCAATGAGAAAATTCACTCACCCAATTCTAAACACATATCAAAGTGAATAAAACGTTTTACAATTAATAATCCGAACCTCAGCCAATCAGGTATTCAACTTTCGTTTTCCCGCCACTAGTAAGACTGATATAAAATATAAGAATTCGTCATATCCGATGGACTTTAAAATGGAGTTGAAACAAAGCGGCAGAATCAGAATGTGGTGACACTTCGGAAATGATGAACGAAAGAAGCACCTGTATGGTGTTGATGGGTACAATGACGAGTATGCGTTTGCAAATGTGGTTTGTGAGTAGGAGGTGGGAAAAGGCTACCACCTGGAGTGTCTTTCCCAGTCCCATCGAGTGGCCCAGTATACAACCGAAGCCAGCACTCTCCCTGAATCTAAACACATACCAAATTCAGAACTATTTCCAATGCTTGGCTACTTAGTTAATTTAATTTGCTGAGGCGAGAAATATGTAAAAATCGATATGAACAAGCAGATTATCCGTTTACTACCTTAGTCTCGTCAAAACCAAAAAATGAGTTGAAATACGAATTCAACTAAAAAATAATACCTGGATAGGTTTTCGACTACGTTTGCATAGAGGAACCGGATGCCCTGGATCTGGTGTGGTTTCACTGTCCTAGATATCTCCCGAGAGAGACAAATGTCCGGGTCCTCGGAAGAATGGCCCACATTCACGAGAATCCTGTTCTGACTCACGATCCCTATCGACCAAATTTGTTTATAATTCCAACAGTTTGTATTCACATTTAAAGTTTCGCTAGATTTTTAAGCAAACCATACGACCAAATACGACGATATTACTTCACGAACTTTGCTTGCTCAATTCGCTTACAAGCTTATAAGCTAAGTTAACTTTTGCTTGAAAGTGAAAAAAATTAACGCGTGGCGGGCGATAGAAAAGTTAGAAAAGAAACGATTGAAAATTTAGCAAGGGAACGATAGAAAGTTTGGCAAAGGAACGATAGAAAGGTTAGCAACTGTAACAATTGCCAAGTGTTCAAGTTATTAAATGAAATAACCGGTAAAAATACAAAAAGCAGTGCTGTTGAAGGCTTGCGCGTTAATGGTTCAAATGTCGTTGAACAGGGAGCATTTTCGAAAGCGTTCAAAGAGTTCTTCACTTCAGCAGGATCGAATCTAGCAGATTAATTTGCAAAATCTGAGCTAAACATCAAAATCTTTAGTGCTTCGCAATCAATGTATCTGTATTGCTGCACTTCTATGAGGTAAAAAATGCATTGAACAGACGTAAGCCAAAACAATCAGATGTTGATGAATAAAGCAATAATTTCTTGAGGGTGGCCTCCTGTCTCATCGCGCCCCATCTAACTTTTATTATAAATCTATCCTTCGAATCTGGCTCTTTTTATCTGAAAATTCAGATAAAGTTTTATACTGTTTCTGTTTTATACTCCAATATTCTGTTTTATACCCATTCATAAAACGGATAGCACGCTAGATTTAAATAATTACCGACCCATTTCTCTGCTGAACAATTGCAGCAAAAGTTTCATCTTTGACGAAGGAGGTTCCTGTTTGATATTTTTCAATTTTTTATAATGATGCGTGACGTAATGGTTAATTTCAAAAATTTGACTTTGCCCAGAACCTTAGTTATTCCTCTACTACAATAAGTGAGAATAAAGAAAAATTTTCAGATTTCGAAATTTTCACAAAGACAACTATCTGTTGCAAAAAATTCAGAAGTAGCCGCTTCTGCGGGAAAAAATTAGCGCAACCGCTTCTTTCGATTGCAACTTTCATCATCTCAAAAAAGGGCTCAAAAACTTGACTTTTCGGTATCCCTAAACTTTCACTTGTTTGAAGACCAAAAAAGATTAGTGGGCGTAGCAAAGTTTAACGGTGAGCTTCCAACAACCCGTTGTGTCGTCGATTAAACCTATGATTACAGATTTGACAGGATAGTTATCGAGAAAATTCCAAAAAACGTACATGTCCGAGAATCAGATTTGGCATGTGATATCAGATTTGGCAGGATATTTATCGACGAAAATTCAAAAAAACGTTTAACAAACCAGAAAATTGTTATGTCCGACGACTATAGTTTTGTTGAAAAAGATTGGTCGTCGCCGCTTATACAGAAGAGATTCTTTCAACCTGTAATTTCGATTCAACCCAAAAACCCAAGTTTCGCAGACAAGTTCGAGAAAAGTCGAAAATGTTACAAAACTGTCAAAACATCAAAACTTTGACTTTTCCAAGAGCCATAAATTTGTGTCAAAAGCAAGTGGGCGTAGTAGCGTATACAAAGGAGCTTTCCACAACCCGTTCTTAGGGTTGAACACAGAATCTCAGACATGGGAGGACGAAAACTTTGTTAAAAAAACTGAATTGCCGCTAATGCATAACCTCATATCTCCATGATTTAGGCACTCTTTTTTAATGAATACCCTTTTTTGAAAATTTTTGAGCTGACAAGTTGAGCCGAAAAAAAACTGGTTTTGTAAAAGACTTGAAATTTTCAAGTTCCCCCTGAAACTACCCAAAAGTAACTAGAACCCACCAGGTAGTTAAATTTTAATTTTCAGAAAATTGAGCATGTCATCTGCGTAGCATGTCAAGTGATTTGAAAGATTTTGTTAAACCAGTTGTTAACCCGAAAAAAAGCCCGCATTCCGATTTGAAAACGCTCGATAAGCGCGAGCGTTAAAAGATCATGTAATCACGAACCTTCAATTATTTGGAAAAATTCAATCTAATTTAATAAAAGCAATTAGGACTTCCAGAAAAAGATGCAATTATTGATGCTTAACCGAAGCGTTGAGACTCAGTTCTAAAAAAAACAATAGGTAGTTTCTTTTTTGATTTAAGAAAAGCATTCGATACTCTCGATCATAGAAATTTGCTGATTAAATTGGAGCTCTATAGAATCAGAGGTGTTAGTCTTAAATGATAAAGGAGCTATCAATCTGATACGTTCCAATGCGTTGAGATAAGTAATGAAAAATCCTACCGGCTTTCTATAAACCAAAGTTCCTGTGCTGGGTCCACTCCTTTTTCTTTTATACATTAATGATGACTCGCGTACCAAAAAATTAGGAGGCACTTCTGTTTGCAGATAAAAACATAATTGTATCCATTCAGACTCCAAGTGACTTTTATTTAGATTTGTTGGAGCTCCATGCTTGGTTAGTCTCAAATAAATTAACCAAAAAGCAGTTAAAACTTCTGACAAATTTTATTCACAATACTGAAGCTTTCAATAATGATGCTGTTTCTTCCAAAGTATCGTGTGCGTATCATAGTGGACAACAAGTTACATTTCCATGTCATATTGCCAAAATGAGATTGAGCGGTATTGATTTAACATAAGAATGCAAGATATTGTCAGTCCATGAACTGTTCGTCTTATAAAATCAACAATTTGCAATCTGATAATTTTTTGAATCAGATTTTTGCCGACAAATATCCTTTAATACTCAAAAACTTTGTGGTAAGATTCCCAAAACCCAATGTGCTTTAGTAAAATGACATCTGCATCGCTGTAGAATCGTGGATCAAAGCTTCTTAATATTTTATGCGAGAACTGTTTATTGCCTGCTAAAATTAAGCAAACGAGCAGTCGTCAAAATTTAATTTTTGTACACAAACTGAACACGGAGGCGAAGCTTAGCTTTGCACAACTTGCGATACACAAAGCCTCCGACTCATTAAAAATTAAAACAAAATGCCAAAAAAGATAACCCGAAATTTTCAACTATTTGTTTCAAACTTAAACTCGTTTTGATGATAACCTGTGACCGAGCACAACAGCCAGAATTGAACTAGCTTGAAAAACTTCGAAATGCGCTACAAAATAGTCAGTTGAAAAAACAGACAGAAGCCAAAAGATTTTCTTCTAAGTTAAGTTGAAAAAAATACTTGAAAATAGAAGGTGAAAAAGTTCGAAAAACTGCAGCTACAGAAACTTCATGGTTATATCGGATGAGGTTCATAACAGCCTTGAAAAAGTGGAATTACTTCACCAAGCGGCAATAAATTTAGGGTCGAAGCCTGTTGAGCCAAAAACAAAACTGTTGTCATTAAACATTTCATGGGTTTTACGACCCATCATACTGAAGCACATAACCCTTTACGAATACATTTTGCCCTTAAAATTACGCAATATAAATTGACTAGGCCGAAATAAAAAATCTGTTGAAATATTTTTAAAAAAGATATAAATATACGCAAAATCGGTAAATTTACAACTTACTGAACTTTCAGTTATAGTAAAATAAAAACTGTTATAATTGGAATAAAACCATTTTAAAAAGTAGGCCAATAGCAACCCTGCCAGATTTTTAAAAATGATTTTCAAAAAACGAGGGAAAATGAATCGACAGAAACTCATGAATGAATCGACAAAAAACCACGAACCCGGAAAAAACTTCGAGTATTTTTTTTGAAAAATTAATTTCAACCGGAAACAGCCTTTACCTAGATACTAGTTAAAGGATAGAAGTTTTATGTGAATTTCAAGGAAGTGGGCATGTTAGAATTGATATTTTCCATTTCTACTAAGATGACTAATCTGTGAACAAAATTGTTTATGGGGAAAAAGTCTAGTACCCGATTGCAATACCCTTGCTCATCGCAAGGGTAAAAAGAATTTTTGTAGGAAATGCCAAGCTTTGTCTCTTTATAATTTTTATATTTGATAATTAGTTTTGATTATTTAGGTTAGCTTTGATTAATTGACACTTATTAAGGCGCAGTCGGGAAGCTAAAGTAGGGCTGCGAATTTAAGCTGAAAATTTGACCGTCTAGATCCTTGTGGATTTCGAGAAATTGCTGCTTTTACGATTTTTCAGAAAAAAATTTGATGCAAAAAAACTAAGTAAAATATATTTCTTTGTTGGTCTTATTCTTTTTCATATGCACTTAATGGAATGCAACTGACTTGTTTTTGGCCAGCTATCTGGTCTCTAGGTTTGGTTTTAAGTCTGAATTTTGTTCTTTTTCTACGTAAAAGAATTATATATTGATACATAAGTTTTCGTATTTGTATATTTTTATTAAACCAGTTAAAATCTTGAAGTAATGACATGATTATCTTGAGAGTAGGCTCAAACTGGGCATTTTCAAGTGCCTTTCGCCTATCCTTTCCATTGTTATACCGAGTAAACTGTTCACAAATTTGCTGAATACTACATGGAGAAATAAATTCTTCTCTTTTTTAAAGACAATTACCTGGCGAGTTTGAGTTGGACTGATCAGCCTCTCCATTTGGCTCCCCTCCGTCTCCGCCTTCGTACTCTGCGTCTGTCTCTCCCTCGTAATCCTCCCCCGCACCGGTCAGCTGGGAAGAGGGCAGATGGGGCTGACTTGTTCGCTTCTCACTGATACATATAATATCGTCTTCGTCGGAGGAAAAACTCTCACCGTCTAAAATACCAATAACTTGATCATTAAAAAACTTGTCATATAGTCGCTCTGGGCAGACACGAAATAAACAATGAATAAATGAACTTTTCTAAAGGACAATAAACTTACGAATGATCTGATTTGATCCAGCAGACAGATTGTCACTACTATCATCATCTTCATCACTCAGAAGAACAACCAGTTCATTTGCCACGTTTTTGCCGCTGATTCCACTTTTACCTTTAACAGTAGGCTTTTCAGTTTCCTGCGCTTTTATTACATCTATAGTTTGATCACGTGGGCTTGTATTTTTGAGTTCATCGTCTTCTAACTCGCAATTCATTTCTTCCGACAACAGCTGACTCCCAGCGTCGTTTTCTCCTACCACAATCCCTAATCTCTTCATGCGTTCTTCTTCCTCTTTCAGTGCTCGGAGGGTATCCGAATTCAGGTCACTACTCTGCATTACGTTCCTGATATTCCTTCTTGTAACACCTCCACCGCTCCTCGACTTTTTACAACGTTCTTTTTCATCATCCCTGATTTTATCCACTCTTGATCGTTTTCTTCTCTTTTCCAGCAGTTTTTCTCGTTTGCTCAAAACAGACTCATTTTTCAAACCAATCGAGCCTCTGCTACGTTTTAAATCTGTTCTAGAACCACTATGTTGCTCCACTAAATCTTTTCTATCCGAATCGGGAAATTTAACTCTAGCCTCCTCTATTCCATCTAAAGCTAAGATTGATGTTTCCACCAGCTGATTCGATTTTGCTCGCTGGTCATTTCCTCCCATGTCTTCGTTTTCTGAGACACTCGCTGCTCCTTCCGTGTCTTCGTCAGATTCTTCAGCCCCGCTTCTGACGTCATCGGAGTCCAAATCGACGTCACTGTACAGATCAAAGTCATCTTCGCTCATATTTTCTTCTTTGCTGTGGTCGTTCATTGACTGATCATAATCAGTTACTTTAATCTGAGCTTCTGAATTATTAGTAGCTATATTTAATCTGGCATCTTCTTTCTTGTTTAAATCTAAACTACTGTCTCTAACATTTAAGTCGTTGCCTGCTATACTATCTATTCTATTTGCCGAATTGACTGTCTGTTCGCTGACATCTTGCTGTCTTGCATTCTTTTCCGGTTGCATCACTCCTCGCAAGTTCTACCCGCATCAATATTGGACAGTTTTATTATTACAGAAAGAAACCAGATCCTCCTTTGCACCATCTGTCAGTCCACTCATTCCAGAATATTTCCATGAAAACCTTAGAGAAACAAACAAATGACCGAGCTAATATCGATTGATTGAGAAAAAGTAATTCATCAAAACTGAAACCTATAGAAACTCCAATAAATCAAATACACCCATGTCCTGAATACTGAAAAGCCAGTTTAGTTTAAACAGTTAAATGATACAAATTAATCTTTTCACCTGTCGCTAAGAATATTATCCGTTTTTCTTGTTACTACTAACAGGTGACTAATTAATAAACAACTAACAGATTATTTAACTCAATTTTAGGTATCTCAAAGAATATTCAAAATTGATTGCGTTTAGTATCGTATTGAAGCACTTTCAGTCGTTATTTGGATTCCAGCACTGATTTGATAGACAGAACGATAGGAAGAAGTAAAGAAAGAAGTAAAGAAAGAAAGAACGAAAGGAAGAAAAAAAATTATTTCCTAAGCCCACATTTCAATGCTATAATAATTCAACCAATGAGACGATGAAAGGAGAAAGGATGGACAACGAGACCGTTAGGTCCTGTAACGTCTACCCTTATTGAATTATTAAATCTTCTTAGAAAAAAACGATAATAAAAAAATCGAACCTGAATTCTCGAAATTTTTCAGATCGTGTTTATAGGCAAAAAAATTAATTGATCAACACAAACTGATTATTGCTATGAAGGAACGAGTTGTTGAAGAGGTAATAAAAAAAATGCAGAAAAAAACACAAATTTTGTTTCTTTTTCTGTGTTTTTCATTTTGGTTCCGTATAACGCTGATTTCTTGTATATAAAGATTAATCTGAAACGGTACAAGCATATCTGCACTCTAAATACTTAAGTCAAATGGGAAAAAAAAATCTTTTTATTTTAAAAATCGAAAAATGGCCACATCTCCTTAACTAGAAGCTTCTGAGGCCTCAAATTTTACCAGGTAAAATGCTGAATAAAATAGCATGCTTGGTAGTATTTAACCACTCACGACTGTTCAAAAAGAAAAATATATAGGTTAACGACAAATTTCAATAAGTCATCATTTTGCAATAAATACAGATTTTTCACTTTATGATAGAAGACGTTAATTTCTTATTCTTACAAATTCTAAATGTTTTCAGGAACAAATTTTCCGATCTTAGTTATCGAAGAGTTTACAAATACGATATCGAATAGAAACACGCTCAATCTTATTCTTACATAGTGGTTCTACAAGCAACTTGAATGTCCATTTCCTTGTTTGTTTTTGGTTTGTATCGAAAGAGAACAGGTTGTTCAGGAAGTCATTTAAAGTAAACTTTTGATTGAACGCAGTACAAACTTAAGCAGTTATTAACCATAAAATTTGAACACAGATAATTGTATTTCAGAAAGATGTCATTGCAGTTCTCACTTCGCTTACGAAAAAAAAAACATAAATTTAATATATTTTTTGCAGAAGAAACCAACACTCGACTGAGCTTTGACAACAACGGCCGTAAATCAGAACACCATATTTAATTATTGCAACAACATTGCTTCTGTAGTATTCTATCAATTGATACACTTTTTAGACTGTTGTATATCAAACAAAAAAAATTCGCCAGTATCATAAGAAAATTAAAAGAATCAAGCATGAACAACCATAATCAATTGAAAAGGGAGGGAGAAAACAAACAGAATTTTTCATGCCTACTACTTCGAATACTAGTTGGTTGTATATTAGAAAAAAATTGAAACAGACTAATAATTACATTTTTTAATGCAAAGAATCAATCACCAATTCGCAAAACAATCAAGAAAAGATCAGAGTGAAAGGAATTAACCCTTAATTGAAGCACACAAGCATTTTTTCAAAATGAAAGGGGTTGGAGGTAAAAGGAGATGGATAGAGCGGCTGTATCTGATTATAATACTAGCATATGCAAGAAAAGGCCGGAAAACTTGAATACATCAACTTTTTTCAGTTTTTATTGTGGTGAGTACTTTGATATGACAGCCAACCGGCAAAATCTCAAGGCAAACATCTCTAAGCAAGTTACTTTTTAATACTCAGCTTTCTAACTTATTTTTTTCACAACCTCGAACTTTCAAAGAAACTCAGATATTTTAACATCACCCGAAAATTAATAATATCTTAATTAGCAAAGAACAAGTGGAAGCCGCATTTGAGAAATGATGCATCGGGTAAGCGAGGGGTCCTGACGGTTTATGAAATTTACCTCTCAAAAAACTTGTTGATTACTTAGTTCTTTTGAAACTTGTCTTCAATGCAATCGTAGATAAACATATCTACCCTAACTTATGGAAAACTAGTAACATTATACCCCTGTTTAACCATGGAGATAACAAGAAATTTCCAAGTATCGTCTCATCTCTTTTCTGGCGTGCACATCAAAAGCCCTTGAAACATGAATTTTTGATAAACTATACAGAGAAATTGGGCTTAACATCTACAAAGATCAGAATGGCTTCACGAAATATAAACCTACAATGACACAAATGATCCTATACTTGAGGGAAATGTATGACAATTTCAAGCTTCCAATGCTCACGGCTCTCTACCTCGTTTTTGAAAAAGCGATCGACAAAGTTGGCCATGAGAAAATCATGGAAAAGCTACAAAACAATGGAGTTGCTACCTTAGATTACGAAAACAGAGGGCAAACCAGGGCTTGATGACACTTGAATATCAAACAATGTAAAACTCTGAAGCTGAAAGAAAACGTAAGTGTCCCGCTATATGGAAGAACAATCGAACAAGCAGAGAATGAAAAAGACCTGGAAACCAAAGGACAAGTGGAAGCCACATTTGCGAAATGATGTATCGGGTAAGCGACTTCCTGGTCAGCAAACGCTGCAAAGTTTGAAGATGTGAGAGAGTATTTTAAGAATATCTTTTAACATGAAACGAAACATCACTAACAGTTTTGGCACGCCAAAAAAAAATTCTATAGAAACTAAATTGACCCAATCATTGCATACGGTGCAATTTTGTAAAAGGCCAAAAAATCAGACTTAAGGATGATCGACAACAATAAGTCACAGGCTTCAAAGTAAATCATAGGCAATAAAAGTTTGGAGGTTAAAAAAACTTCCATTTTTGCCACTATCCTTATTACATGAAATGCATATTCAAGTTCTTATAATGTTTGTAGTCGACATAATTAAAGGCAGATACAACATCGAGAGGGAACCCTTCGTTCAAACCCACTGCAATTGGAACAAACAACGAGAGCGCAAATGAAATTTTTTAAAACGCGAAACTTGTCCAAGCTCGAATACGAAGTGCCTTCCCATTTCAATTGTCGGAAAACATTTATCATTACCCACAATAGTTCCAGAATATCCCTGTAACTTTTGTGAAAAAAAGAAGAACTAGTTGCTGCGGAAGTGGCACAAAACGTTGTGACCATGATGACTCAAGAAAAGGAATTCATTTTTAAAGAAAACGGCCAACAAACCACTGGAAAAAATTTAATGAACTCCCGAAAAACTGAAAAAAAATGAATTTTTTTAAGAAACTTTCGAACTTCGGAGAAAAATATGTCAAGCTGAAGCTCCCTTAACTTCATGAACATTTAGCGAGTAACAATTTTTTCATAAAACTAGCTCAATTAGAATAAAAAACGGACCAATAAGGAAATCGAAACATTTAATCCACTTTCGCGCAGTTACTGCTTTCGTAACTGGAGAGCATAATTTACCTTACTTCTACCATAAGAAAAAACATTTGATTTTAACAGGAACTCAACATTTAAACCTCAAAACGTCAAAAAAGCAAATTTGGCAAGAAAACGAGCAAAAAATGAACCCGACTAATATGTTCTTTGACGCTTTAACAAAATCTGTACATATCGAAAACAAATCCAATAACAAGCAACTAACTCAGGCGAAAAACTGCAAGAATGAGAGGTGAATAGGTAACATTGCGCATAAAAAACTTTAAAAGTGTAGCAGAACAAAGTGAGGAGGCCAGCCTCCCATCAATTTTTTTTTCTAATTTAGTCAAAATTGAAAATATTCAGACCAAAATTTTTCGACATTGTCATGAGGCGACTTTTGTACCTCGTATTCGCATTCTATGTGTGTTCAAACTGTTCATGCATTTTAAATTATGATTCACTATGTCATATGTCTTTCATCCATATCTAAACGGTCGCAGCGTGGTGCTGTTGTCTTGCGTTTAGCCAGTTGCGCGATATCCTTAACAAGATAGTCCTATTCTAAACTGAGTCCCTATTTTAAACCTCTACCTATTCACCATCAGTAGTCTATTCAAAGTTGTGTATCTATCTATACTATTCATAATCTACCTATCTATGATACTGATTAAGTTACTATTAACTTTCAACCCTTCAGTCTTAAGTCAGTACTGGGTGGGTTATCTCATGGGTTAAATGAATTTTTCTTGGCCGTGGGCCTCACAGACAACATTATGCCGAACGATGTTTTTACACCTCCGTCGAAACCGGAGACACCAGCAGCTATAGAAGACGCAGTAGCCCGAGACGGCTGTAAGGAGAACTGACGAATGGAACGCAGAGCGTCGACGAAAAGGCCCACGTATTGGCCAGCATTGGTTTTACCATGAGGCAGCTGCTCGCCTCAAATGCCGATTAATCTTTTCCCTGGGTAATGAAGGAAAGCGACGTTTTACAGACTTCCATCAACACCTCAACCTTAATGTGTGCTCTTTCAAAGACTTCCATGATGCGTGTGAAGCATTATTCCAAACTGCTCGCGATTATACGGTAGAACGGATCAAACTGTATAATACGATATTTATGCTAGAAACCGATTCTTTTTTCTCCCTTTTTTGCGCGACTAACTGCTCAAGCGGCATTATGCAATTGGCCTCAGGACCATGAACGTGACACTATAAAAGATTTATTCATCGGACGAGTTCGCGATGTAGAAGTACAGCGCCAACTAATCAAGGCTAGGGAAACCCTTGACAATACGCTGAAGCTAGCGTTGGAATGTGAGAAGGGAGCGAGTACCTCGGCACCATTCCAAAAATTATTGCCCCATAATCATCAGCAAAAAGGTATAAGGG